TTTTTACGACCGCCCGCCCACCTAACGTCAACCCTCCTTGGGGAAACATACACCCCGATCCGGGACAATTATTTATGGGTCACACAAATACTTGTCCCGTGCGGGAATCGAACCCACGACCCTCGACGCCGAAGCCAATAGCTTAGCAACGGCGCCATCGAGTCATATATACATAATATACTAGCGGTCGGGACGGACGTCCCGAAAAACAAATAAAAAAAAATTGTAGTGGACCGAATTGTGAATCTAAACCATTCTCGAATCAACATGAAGTCACACACAAAGTTTCATTAACTTCGGTCCAGCCGTTTAGGAGGAATTCAGTGACATACCCGCATACAGAGGAAATATATGTAACGTATATAACTAGAAACCGCGTTGTCAGCTTAAAATGGGAAGTTCGAATTTCTTTCTTTTTTCTAACTAGCGACCCGCACCGGCTTCGCACGGGTGCAATGTTTTATACATATAATAGTCTTCACTCTCCTATGCCCTTAGCTGCATAAGTTAAAAATCAGTGAATAATTAACTAAATCTACTGTGGTAGGACACGTTCTGAAGAATTATATATGTAAAGATAAACGACACACACGTATAAATACTTATAAAAATACATCCATGTAACCTAGCGCCCGCTGTGAGGCGACGTTTCATCGGCGCGAGCCGAGCGGGGCTAAGACAAAAGACAAATTAATTTTGTACACGGGGCATTTAATTTGAATGTGAATAGCATGAAGTGCGACGAATGGCCGCCGAGAACAATGCCCGGCGCCGAGGCGGACGTTCCCGTTCCCGCCTTTTTATTTTATAAGCGACGGGTTGAAACCAAAAAGTCCGAGCGCCCCGCACGGACAATCCCGCGTTATGATATGGACACACTAATGGAGGGCCGGCGAGGCCTAATGGCCTTATAATATTAAACGCACGTGATAGACCGGCGGAGAAACGGACGCCTTGGCCGACCCTAGAGTTAGCCGTACCCGGAAATAATTGCTAAGTGTAAAGGACTTAATACAATGTATTGTTGGAGGAGAGTTTAAACGTGTCGGCGTTTCGTTTTCGTCGCGAGCCCGTTTTAGGTTTTAATCTTCGCTGGAATCATACGCCTCTAGGAAAAAGCGATTAAATTTTGATCCTGATGGAAAATACTTCAAGGAAGATTGTTCTAATTAATGGGAAAAGAGGTTTTAAGCGCAATTCAGGTACACGTGGATCATTTTGTTATGGCGTTTCATCGAGCTTAATAAATTGGTGTCCGGTTTTTAGGCTAATTATAAATTGTCTTCAGAACCATTATTTGGGATTTAGCTCATCGATCAGATTTACAATCAACTCAAATTAATTCCGAGAACGTTTTATCTGAGTCACGGCACGTGTTAGATTAACTTTTGTGTATTTTTTTTAAATTTGTCGAAAAAATAGACAAACGTCTTATTCGCCCCCAGGACCGAGGAATCTTCCGGATGTGGGTTCGATTCCCACAGCGAAGAGCTTCGTCCATTTGTTCTACAAATTTTAATATTTCATCAGTGCAGAGATTGGAAATATAAAATTTAATTTCCTCCTTTATTTTACTTGATTTTAACTCATGCAATGAAGGGGATAATTTTTCAGTGGTATTGCATTACAAATAAATAAATATACCCCGACGTGATTTTCCACAAAATTATCTAGATCCATACTAAGAAAAGTTTTTACTATGGGCACTAGGTAAACATACTTGAAGTTATCTTTTTACACAGATCACATAAATAAATACACATCATAGATATATAAACATTTTATCACTATAAAACACAGTGTTTTCACATGTGTACTCACAATATTTTTCCCGTAATAGGGATCGAACCTACACTCTCTGGCGTAAGAGATAGGTCCATTATCCACTGCGCTATCGAGTCGTAGATTTTAAGGTAGGATTATTGCAGAGAATTATATAGACTAGTTAGAATATCTGTAAATTTCAAAAATATTAACTTCAAGTGAGTAAACGGGTGCGTAAATTTGAAAATCTCAAACAAAATATTTCCTTATTCTTTCTTTTAAAGAGTAGTTTAGCTATCGGAGTAAGAATTATACCGACCGATGTTTTCATCCTAGAAATTGTCCAACCGGGTGATGATACTCGATCGGCCGCGTCTGTCGATACTAACACGTGTTTGCTTTACATTACCAGTCCATCAATCACGCTGCGATTCTGTTTCGGACCGTGACCGTTGCTTAAACAGTGACGAGCGCCCGCTCGGCCCATCAATCAGGCGGCGAGGCTTGCCGCCAGGCTTCACCGTTCGAATCCCCGGCCGCAACGCCCCGTAATGACGGCCTAACACCCGCCCGACACAACCAATTCACATGTTAAATGGAGTCGCCCCTCGCCTCAACACCAGCCGTATCATTAAAATGTTTGTTTCGTATGCGTTTATTGTTCGGACGCTTCGCCCAATTAGTGCTACCGTGTCGAAAGGATAATGCATTAATGGAATAAAGCGTGGCACGGATAGAGACATTAGTTTTATTTGTTTAGCGTTTACACTTTGTTGTGAACACCTTATTACCTATATTATACGGATTACAAGAAATTAATAATAATAATATCATTTATTCGCTTAAACATGATACATCCGAGGTGACACATAGTTGCATATAGTACATAGTCCACATGTTTACCACATCTGGCATGCGAAAATTATTATTTAAATAAAGATAATTCATAATATACATAGATTAAATTAAACCAAGTAAATATAAATTAAAATTACAATAATAATTTCAAGCAAAGAAGTTAATTATGTATTATTCAATTAAATTAAATTATAATTAAAATTACAATCATCATGTCAATCATTATAAATATTAAAAATTAAAATGACAAAAGAGTATACATACAAATTATTACACAAAAATAAAGTCTAAAATAATATGGTAAAGTCAAATTTAGGCAACAAGATTTTATTCATTTAAAAATTGTTTTACATCATAAACACATTTTAATAATAGCCAGCTTTTGAGTTTGGTTTTATATTTACCAGTTTCTTTCTCTTCTTTAATGCTTACCGTTTATTGTAAATCTTTACACTCATCGCGTAACAGCCATTATGATAAAAGGCAGTTTTAGGTATACGTTCTAAAATTAGTCTACTAGATTTTCGTATGTTACGTAAATATACCTCAGATGCTTTTTTGTACATATTTAATTTTTTTTACATGAACACTTGCTTCAAATATGTACATGCCTGGTAAAGTTAGTATGTTCAAATCCTTAAATAAGGGCTTTCACGAATCAAACCATTTGGCCCCAGTTAAGGCTCTCACACACTTTTTTTGAGCTATAAAAGCTCTTTTTGAATAAGAGCTATTACCCCAAATTAACAATCCGTATCTTAGTATAGTTGCAACATACCCATGATATGCAATGAGTGCGGTTTGGCGTGACGATGTTCTTCTTAACCTATTCAAAACATATACAAGTCTATTAATTTTATTACAAATTTCGTCAATATGAGCCAATTACAGTTCCTATCTAGTTTTAATCCCAGAAATTTCTTCTGTTCGTTTTCTTGCACTTTGTCATTATTATACCTTATGTCAAGGTCTAGTTTCTTTCTACTATTACTGTAACTATAAATATGTTAGTATTAATGTTGGTATTGCCATTATAAGCCATACTTCACCAAAGGAGAAAACAAAATGATTTTGGTGAATAAATTCAAAATGTATAAACTCAATCGTTTATAATCTAGTGCTGTCAATATAAATGTGTCGCAACGGAGCAGGGACGTGTTTGAATCGTAATATAGGTATTTACACATTGCATCAACTAAATATTGTACATCGAAAGAGCCGTGATGACTCAGTGTCCAGGCGCTCGCCTTTAATTCAATAAACTCGAGCAACCTGAGTTCGATCCCCGGTGCCGGCTCCAATGAAATTGTTAATTTCAAGTGCTGAATTATCACGTGCTCAGCGGTGAAGGAAAACGTCGTGAGGAAATATTTTCGAAATAATAATAAAAATATGTTGAGAAGTCCGCCAATCCGCAGTGGTGGACTATGCGCTGATACCTTCTGTAGAGAGGAGGCCTTTGCCCAGCAGTGGGAGGTTGAGTGATAACTGCCGCCTATGGATATTTGCTACAACCGTAGGGTTGCATACTCGTATGTGTAGCTTTTAATGGAGTGGGCGCCGGTTACCTCACTCACAAGACGAAATGCAGAAGTATAAAACTTCCACTTCACGCCGGCCTTCTATGGAACAGAGAAGACTGTTGCGTACGTACCACAGTAAACATTGCACAGTTTAAATAATACATGCTGTAAGATATTAAATATACCCATACAATAATTTCATATCGACATTGGTCAAAAGGATCATCAACGTCAACGATATCCAGAGATACATCAGCGCGAAACAATTCATTATGCTTATTTCTGTTCGACGCATTGCATAATGAGCTTACGTACTACCACGAAGAGGTAGTACGGAAATGACAGATGATCGGTACCAGCAGTCGACATAACGGGCACACGAACAGATAATAAACAAAACTCTTGTTATTCAATTAGAAGTATCGTGTACTGCATAATCACTTAGAGTTTAACACGGCGTACCCCTAACGTCAAACGATTGGCCGACGGCGTGATTCCGTCGATGGAAATTAGGCAACACCTACGTCTAACCGCGTAGGCAGTTCCTTGCTTCTTCGGACACATGTCGTATACCATATCGGGTGTCAAGTGTACGCGTCACCTGTTTTAATAACAGCCGGCGCCAAAAACAGTGAGACGTGTCCGCCCGGTTAAGCCATTCGCCAATTAATTCGGTTGTTAGCGGTCAACCTCGACGCGGCGGCTCGCCTCAAACGCCGCCATTCGTCGACGGGCGCACTCTAAAACGGTGCAATGGTACAAATACAAATTGCCGGGCAATAAATAACAGGCATAGGAGAGTGGTATCGAGTGCGCTATCATCGATGGTCCGGTTTAATTTAATTGACCGGGCTACGTGTCGATGATAAATGGGAGCGGGGTTAAGCATATGCGCGGGGCCCATGAATAAATCGCCCCGCGGTGAGACGAGCCGATTTGCGATAAGCTGGTATTTATTGTGTTATTTGCGCGCGCCACCTGGCGGCGGACGGTGCTCGGTTCGCCGCCACCGCGGGAGGCCCCATTGGCTTTCGGTGCGCGCCATCCCTCAGGAGTGCACGGCCGCGGCCGCCCCCCGCCGCTGTAAATCACAGCTGACATAACAGCGTTCACCGTTGATGAATCCTGCCGAGTTGATAACGCCATATAGGTCGCTTAGGACTGTGCGTTTTGAAGTTCTCCTTGTATGTATCAATAAATTAACTCAACGCACATGTAATTCAGCCCATTATTCGATATTTTTAGTCGTTTTCTGGGAAATATGATAATGCTTTTTAAGTTAAAGTTACGTTAATAACATTAATATCTACAAATGTTTAAAGTAAAAATAATACTAATAATAAATATTTAAGGACACATTTTTACACAACATTTTCTAGTCCCAATCTAAGCAACGCTTGTACTATGGGTACTAGAAAACTTATAAACATACTTAAACGTACTTTTCTTTTGTAAATAAATACATATTATAAATATAATAACACCCAGCCACAACAAAAACACTATGTTCATCACACAATATTTTTCCAGTAGTGGGGATCGAACCCACATCCTCTGGCGCAGGAGGCAGTACACTACCCACTACGCCATTCGGGTCGTCATGAAATAAACGTCCGCATGTTAAATCTTTATTTATATTTGTCAGCAGTAGCAAAGTAACATACTTATAATCTTGTAAATCATGTAGTGAATATCTTTGTAAATTATATTCATAAAGAAATTAATGAATAAACAGAGGCTGTTTGGAAAATGTTTAGAATAGAATATATCTCATAAATAATTTTACAGTGTAAAAATATAGACGTATATATTTAACATATAATAGAAATTACGATCTAGTTATAGAATTAATTTATTTTTATTAAATAGGTACGCTTAATGTTGCCAACTTTTGTACAATAACCAGCACAAACAAAGTTTTCCTTCGAATATATAGTTATGTCTATATATTGACTTCTTGATTTAAAGCGAATATTACATTAATTATAAGTCAATATTCCTCCGAAATAATAAAAAAATTGTATGCCCATTGATTGTGTCTGACGCATACACGCATTTACGAATACTTAACATTATTATTTTTTTTATGAATATAAATATGAATGTAAGATTGTTTGTTACGCTTTCACGCCAAAAATACTCAACCGATTATCATAAAACTTTGTACACATATTCTTAGATGTATTAAAAAGGGCATAGGATTCGGTTTATTAAAAAAAAATTAAAAAATGTATTTATCTAAGGACTTCAACGCGAGCGAAGCCGCGGGTGAAAAACTGGAATATATAAATACGAACTTTATAGTTAAAATTGAACTTTGACAAAATTTTGAAAAAAGTGACTTTATAGTAACAATTTTAATCAAACAAAATATGTATATATAATTATTCTTATACTGCTGCTTAAACATGTTATAAACTTAATTCCAATAATAAAGTTAATGGATATTTTAGGAAAGAAACGATCGTTTGGCAATTTCGAAAATGTAAACAATGATTTTTTGATAACTGTTTGATACTATGCGGCGTTTAAAAATTGTCCCGATTTACATTATATGACATATATAAGTCGATGTGACAGAATATATAGAACGTATGGTACGGAAAGAGAGAGCAGTCTATAGAATTACAAACTAATTACACCAATTGGTGTAATTTGAGTGCCTCAGTTTCGGTGCGCTAGTGTCATATCTACCTCGTATTTCTGTATAATGTCATTGAATGTTAAGTTAAAAAAAAAAAACAAAGTATTGGCACATCGCGGAATCGTGAATCTAACCGCAAATCGGCCAAAGTCATTATCTGTTAATACACCGTATGCGAAAAAAATTCCGATAATCACCGATCGTAGGAAATGTTTCAGTGCAATTATAATCTCACAGTTAAAGCAATAAACAAGAATGCGTACAAACTCGAACCAGTCGAGTACAAAGTGTAGTACGGCGCTCACGTCCGCAAGTGCCCCGGGCACCGATACCCGTCGCAAACTAAAAATGCGTATAAATTATGAAGATTACATGAAAAGGAGAAATGTGTTACATTTAATTTTATTACACTCGATAAGTTATGGGCTAGCCACGGCACTCACTTGAAAAACGCGTTAGCGCGTGTTTGCCCGATGCGAAACGCTGTAAGTACTAAGGCATAGTCAAGCGATTTTACTCCTTCTGTCCCAGACTTAAAAACTAGAACGCCTTGTAAGCGCAAAGGTTATGTAGCCTTTACTGGAGCTCGGGCAATTCGCAGTTACATACAGATCATTTGTGACATTAAAATATCAATAAATTTATAGTGTTAAGATAGGAGCAGCGTTTCTAGATGATTATTTTTCCATGCGAAATCTATGCATCAACATATTTGCATACGCAATAATAACTCTTTGATGAAATCCGTTTGTTAGTTAAGCTGGATTTAAGCGATATTTATTTAAAGTATATAGCTTACGCGGGTGAGGTTGTGATACATTAATAAATTATACTAAAATGTTTTGCGTCATTTATCACAGTAACGTTATCAGCAGATAACTTTATTTTTAACTACGATGTAGAAAACAAGGTCCGAAGCTTTGTAAGTTTGGCTTGAGACTTTCTCAATTGGTGGACGAATTCAAGGCGGAGTAAACACTGTTTTAGTTCCCACTAAATAATTCCAATTATAAAAAAATAATGACAGATTGTTTTAGGCTAGTTTCAGATAGAGACGGCCAGTGCTGTTAATTTTAGTAAGTTTTAGTAATTTTTGGAAGGGAAAGAGCGTAAAAAAATTAAATTAAAATATTTTTATGCTGTTTACTACGAGGCAATATAGTCATTATATTTTTCATACACCATTTTAAAAACCCGTTAAATATTTATATATATTTTTTTTACAAATCGCTTTGCATATCTTTTATAAAAATTTACATTCCATTAGAACCAATTTACTCAAGAATATATATTTAATAACATAATTTTGTTAAGATATTATGTAGCTTTATTTATTGCTGACTTTATTTAGTTACAAAAAGCTTAATGTTATTTTGCGCCGTTTGACTTTTAGTCTTTAAAGAAAAGAGATTTAAACATATTAATGTTTGATACACTTGAAAATACCATTATTCCGTATTGAATTAAAAGTAACAGAAAATTCCTATTACCGTCATACCAATTAAGTAATAAGCTTATGTGCTTATAACACGAAAGAGGCTTTTGAGAAATTGTAGGAAGGTAATTATTTCTCATTAAATTTACCATTCTCTAAAATCGTGTAATCATTGAGTATATTTTTGGAGGTAATAGGACCCTAATTTCTTAGAAAAATCTCAATATATCCTTTGTTATTCGTTCCAAAGAAATATTTCAATTATTGAAAAGGGTCCCACAACATTTTTTTATGATAACACGCTTTGATGATTTTATACGTTTATTACAGGATACCTAAATAAAGATACCAACAGATGCGATGAAAGGTAAATTTCAATGTTAAGGTCAATAAATTTCTAATAGGTCAGGACCTGAGGTACGCACTATCTGTGAAAGCAATTCTATTAATACACGTTGAAACTTTACTCTTGTTTATTTATTCGAACGTTTCTTATTACATTTATTACTTTTATCAGACTTATAACCGATGATATCACTCTATCGGGAATACATAAAACGTGTACAAAACTATGAAGGTTTTGCTGTATTCAGGGGACATTTCAAACCGTATCGTTTTCCTATCTATTGCAGTATTGCAGATCAAATCTGAAAACGTAATAAAGTATAAATTGTATGTTTTATCGAACGAAAATACGAAAGATTCAACGCCTCATGCGATGACGAATCTCTAACTCGATAAAAACCTCGGGTCTCGAAACGGGAATAAATTCATTCCGAAGCCAAAGGACGGCGCGACCGATCGTATCGCACATAATTTGTTGCGGGCTGACCAATCAAAACATTTGTTTGTCTCGATGCCTGAGCGATGGCGATGGTATCGGCGTTATAATGTCACTGAACGTCGGCCGGCCGCTTATCTGAGACGCTGCCGCTCGGAGCTTTTTTTTTAAATTCCGAAGCAACAACAACCGAGGAAGCGCTTCATCTGATGATAAGTACTACGTACAAATATTTTACGATGTCGCCAATTGCCATGTAACCTACAAATCATCAGAATAAATATAAAAGTACTGATATTGTTACGTATTCCGCTCGGACGTTGCATTTCCCTGGTCGATTCCCGTTTCCTGTCCGACCTATTCGCGCGGAGATGCGATTTACGCGCTTTTTAAGCACATCCCTAAGCGTGTACTTGCCACTAGCCTCCGTCGACTTAACATGCAACCTACAAAATCACACTCGAGCGAAATAACATGAATAGGCGGACGGCGCGTGTTCGGGCAAACAACGAACCGAGCCGAGCGTGCAAACAGTCGCGGCACAAACAAATCTCACGGACGGCGGAATGCTACAACAACAAACATCCGAAATATGTCATGCCTACCAACTAATGGTGATCATAGGAACAAAAAAATATTTGACGGTGCCGTGCGCTAATGTGTAACCAAGCGAGTGACACGGAAACTCTCTTCACACACGTTTGACCCCCAACAAAGGAGTTCTGTTTGTCTTGTATCGCTACTAAAATATTGAAACGAGGGCCGAGTGCAGTGACGGTGCTAGCGCTCTTGTGGACCACTGCGAAGCGGAGATGGACACCGGCTAATTTAATGTTGGTTAAAATATGGTAAGGAATTTTAAAAAATCGCGTAATTCGTTTTCGAATGCTTACACCTATTTGAGAATATTTTTAATCTCTGTGCGTATTCATATCTGTATTTGTCGTGTTTTAATGTTAGGTAATATATACTTTTCTTATATAATTTAATTTTTACATTTTCCTTCTTGGTCTGAATAGTTAAAACAGCTATAAACCAAAGTTTTATAAAACTCGAAAGTTTAACACTGCACACATATATCATCGTATTATTAATATTTACAATCATTTTTGAATAGAGGTTTCCTTACGACGGTTTTCACCAATGTTTTTATTAGAGCGTCTGTGTGCGTTACCAGGAAGGTTCAAAGTTTCAAACCCTTGCAGCGGAGAATATCGGAGTATATCATTACATATATTAAAAAATCAGTTAAAGCTATATCACATTTTTTGGGTTTTGCACTTTTAACTTTTGAATTTAGACACAGTAAAATATCAAAAGTATTTTCTGATACTGTACTAATACTGTACTAAATAGTTATTATTCTCTTCTAGCTTGCAGTATGCACAGTCCTAAGCATTGAATAATGTCTCACGCCCGTGTTTGCTCTCGCGTTATGGTATCGTGAGTTCACTATAGCTTAGCGACTGGTAAAGTTCACCTCGCTTGTCAATGCAAATTATTCGCGCGTCCACTACGCGCCGTACAAAATCAAGATCGCATAGCGACGACCGCTAACAGGAGCGGAGAGCATGTTAACCCCTTTAAACATCCTTTTTCGATGGAATTGAAGTCAGCAAATACAATCCCATTCAAAACAGTTGGTTTTATACAGAAGATTATCATCGTTTTATAAAGGTCTCATGAATAAATTACTGTGAGAATGTCATTATAATTTCCCGCATTTTTGCTAAAGCTGACAACGTAGTACTTGCGATGTGAAACACTGGAGCAATTTGTGTTACGACGAGAAATACAATTTGTGATTAGCTGTCCAGGAGACGACTGGCGAGCGTAACAAGCGTGCCGACTTCCATACCGATAACGGGAGACGTGGTCCGGTCGGGGCGTGTTGTTCAATATTGGACGATTTTGTCTCAATAATTCTCGGCTAGAGCCGGTGTCACGCGAGCGCTCGCCGCGACCAATTAGGTGGCGCCGTGCAACGGACACCGGACAATAAATCAATAATTAAAGCGTCCATCCACCGGCAAATACTGATTTATTCGCGCCTCTTGGCCACGAGCGTCCCTCGGCGTCGCGGAACCGGAATTATTGCAGTCGGCCGCTGATTGCGGACCGACATTGTTGCCGTATCTCGCCCCCTCTAACAATCCCATTATGGTTTCTCACGTGAACACGAATGCGCCCCAATCAATGGGACGGTGCCGCCATTAGCTGTATGTTTGGGCGATGTTTGCTCGTAACATTTCCACGTTAATTCCCTTCTAAGCGGCACAAAGTGAGAGATTACGCGCGGTTTACACTGTGCATTAACAAGTGTGTCCGATATGAACTGGACTGGAGTTTCACACACAAACTGCCCGTGTTTGCACCGCACATTAGTGACGGAGCGTAACTGTCTACACGGAATGGTCGTCGTGTAGCTCGTTTTCTTGTTTCGACAACGTCGTATCAATGGCGGCGTCGCGAGACGTACGGACTTTTAATTGATTTTTCATCCATCTCTCAATGGTAGTCATGAACAGAGAACTTGACATGCGTTTCTGCCTATCAACGGCTGCTCGATGGCCCTCAAACCGAGCTCGTGATCGTGAGTATTCGAAATTAATGTAAATTAACGACATAAAACAACTATCTTACGCAGAATCACGGTCGTGAGGCGTCAAGCGATGGATGCTGCGGCCGGTGACAGCACTACGTCAGCACGAGGGCCCTCCGCGCGGCCACCGAGTGTTTTCATACACACTGGCGCGGACGTGTTAATTCGTAGACATTCCGTTTTTTTTTTTCGCCTTCGGTGATCGACGACTGTGGGAACGTTTTCGGGTGCCTTCGTTAGAAGCACCTACTCCACGGTAACGAGCAAACAGACGCGGACGCGGGTATCGCCCGTTAAGTGGCCTACGGAATTTACGACGCTCGCCCCGCTGACGGGCGAGGTGTTCGCGATTGAGTCATCCGACGCTCAATTGTTATCCGTGGCGCGCAAGGCGCGGGCTATAAAAAACGCCGTGTCCACCAATTTGAGCGTCGTTGCACGGCCGACGTGAAAGTTGCCGGTGGCGCCGACACCAATAACGGCTTGTGGCGCGCGTTGTGGGCAGAGGCGTTCAATATTGCGGAGTGCTATTCTGGCATGCGTGGCTTTTATCGCTCGACGCACGAATACGATCCGCGGGATTCGAGATAGCGTCTTCGTTGCCGCCATTTATTACACTGACAGAAGAACAATAAACGAGATATCTGCGCTGACGGACGCCAGGGGTAAGCGGGGCGGCACAACTAATGGAAGCGACTTCGAACCTCGACCTCAGACGTCTTGCACCCCGCTACGCCTCATCATCGGCGTCATTACCGCGATAGTGGTTGTGAAAAATCGAACGCAATGTAGATCCGTTCACAAATAGGCGTGCGTTCAAATCGCGATCATATAGCCAACAATGCATGCATTGAGGCGAATAAATTGAATTCCCGACGAGATTTGCATAAATAGTGCGCAATGGCAGCGCTATTATAACGCCGTAACGTGTCATGAGACAATAGCTGAACGGGATCCTCCCACCTCCCACGTGGGCTGGTGGTGGAAGCGGTGTGCTAAGGCGCATGCTAATCGCTTCTAATCACGGCCCGATCTCGAGCTGATTCATCCCGACCTTACGATCGTCTACTCTGTTTGTTTATCAATCAGTGTAGCTAATGCCAGCCGCGACCATAAAAGGCGATATATTTATCCAGTGTCGCTCTTAATTAGTGGGCGACGGCGAATCGACGCCATATGTGGCCCACGTGTTAGCGTCGACCTCAGCGGTGTGTTTTTTTCGTTAATGTAAAATGTAAATGAACGAAAAATCATTAATGTTTACCTCCACAATTCTCCGCTTCGCCTTACATGGTAGGCTAGGGCTCCAGGTTCAGTGACTTGGGTCTTAAGAAAAGTTTTATTGCCGCCTCATTATTTATACGAATTGTTTAGTTTTCCAATAAAGAATTGTAAATTAGTAAGGTTAAAAAACTTAGCGTGTACAAGACAAGTGTAGATGAAATAGGAAAATTATGTTAAATCCTTCAATTTTCTCCGCAACAATAATACTTTACGAATAATTTCTTCATTCTGCAGCAATTATAACATATTTTTTAAATGAATTAAAGTACTATATTATATGCAGACATAAATTGAAGCTTAATTTAAGCGCCAGAGGTAGTTTTGAAAGGTCTTTTGTATTCTGAAGGCGAGTAGCGCCGGTCGAATCGCCATGTCTGTTAGCGTTGCGAAAATCTGCGGAGACGCAGGTGGCAGGGGAAGGGGGGAAGTGAGTATAGGTTGCGGGGAGAGGGGGGTAGGTGGCGCCCAGTGGTAGATCCGCCCAACTCTTTGTTTACGTAACGCCCCCTGATTACATGTACATGAGTGGTCTCTTAATGACTATGTTTAGACATCAATAGATTATCTGAATACGTTTTTAAAAAAAATCGTTTGAGTAAATCACAAGGCTATGGTTGATTTCAGAGTCCAGTTAAGAGGTTGCCAGTAACCGTAATAATAGGCCAATGGGTTTTAATGCCTTGATGCTATTTTATATCTAGCACACTTTGAAATCATTGCATGTTGCTATTTATAACGGCTTGTTTCTTGTAAAATTTTCAGTGTCAGCGTTTGCTATTAGGCAATGATGAATATTACTGCTGAACTCAGATCACAAACTTCAAGAGAATAGTCGTAATTAGGGAATGATGAAGAACGGCATGATAGGATTAACTCAATTCATAACCTTAATAACGAATGATTGTTCCTAAGAAATTATGAAGGTTACGAGAAGACTTTGCCCATAACGTATGAGCTAAGTTTTTAACTTTAACTATTGTAGCAACTACTTTATTGTAAGCTCTCACACTCTTAATTTCAAACGGGTTTGCTTTAACTATCCAGTATCATGAAGCAAGGAAAGTTTTAAAATGTACCACAGGATGCCAATCGAAATGGTCCAATAGGAGGTCCATTGGACGAACGCTGTATAATGTTGCCATCTTGTAGCTAGTGGCATAACCTCGTTGCTATACGCAGATACACTGCGGTAGAGCCACACAACGAGCAAGAGCAGTCTTCGCTGTTGCACCAAAAGAGAGGTCCGTCCGGGGAGGTAATACGATCTCACAGAAGACCGTGTCTGACCGTGTCTGACCGATGTGAACTGGAAGTGTTACTCGTCCACGTTTCGTCTGGTGAGTGAGTTAGGCGGGGTCAACTTTATTAAACGGTGGCAACGCATCCGCAACCCTACGCGTGTTGAAAATATCCATGGGCGGCTGCTATCGCCTAACATCAGATGAACCGCCAGCTTGTTTGCGAACTTCTCTCGTAAAAAAATATATTTTTTACGCGTAAACTTTTTCAAATGGCTCAAAACTGATTTGTGGTCAATCCCCAGTTCATCAGCTACGTCGCAGCTACTAATATCCGTAACAGAGCGACCAAAGTGAGCTGCATCTTCGACATCAAAATTACTGAACTGACTGAATAATTTGACTACAACTAGATACAAACAGTACAACCACAGAGATTTTAATACAATCTCATTCAAACTACTAAATACGAAAAGACTTTCCCGACCTTATATTTTTATAAAGGGCCGATCATGGCCGCTGTTCCTACCAATATTTTCAATTCAAACACCACGAAAAAATGTGTTTTACCATTACTTAGGTGAAAAGTTTAAATTCGGTCTGGTCTTATAATGCGTGACTTCCAAACGGTGAACAGAATCAAAGAAATCACGTCTCAATTCAACATTTCTATGTTTATAACTTGCAAGCTCAGCTTTCTAAAGCGGCGGCAGCCGCGTCGCATGCATAATAGAGACTAAATTAATACTCACGCATTAAGCACGAGCCCTGGTGATGAGCCATTCCGATGTGGCTCGTGTGGGCGCCGGTAATAATTCAGCAAGATTCAGTTAGGTTGTGGACACAACGAGGCCTAACCATATCCATAATTTTAACTTACTTTCGAAACTTTATACGTACTTATCGTATTATAAGAGTAAAAGATATGGACAACTTACTTACTATTATTAAGTCAGATGAAAGCATGCAAATATTTCCAGTCAAACTTTAAAAATGAAATAAACATATATTTTTTTTAATTTACAGAATTATTCCGTTTGGAAAAGATTGTCCTGTGTTGTAGAGACGTTTTATAAACAAATTAAATAAAGAAAAACACCTATATCTGGAATTATTGTATGTATTTGTAAAAAAAATATATTCTTGTATAACAACGTCATATATTATACCTGCCCGGATGGAAATCGAACCCTAACTACCAACCAAAGGCGTCACTTAAATTCAAATAAATGTACGTGATTCAATCGAAACAGAATCGCATCGCCGTAGGAAATTTATGATTAGCAATTTGTGATAAATAATAAAAAACCTAAAACTATTTTAAAAGGACGTTTATTTTTTTGGGTTGTGCTATCTTTACATTTTGTTTAAAAAATGTTAGTAGTCAAACTGGTGTGAAAAGGCAAAGGGATTGTGGAAATAGATAAGTTAGGACTGTAATTAACCTAGGTTCTGATTGATTACAGTGTCTCCACGTAATTTCATCAGGTTTCTTCAGCCCAGTTTTTGCGTTACTTGAACATTGAACATGAAAATTTTTTTTTAAACATGGCCCTTACTTTAGGATAACATTATCCTGTGTTGTAAGTAGACGTTTTTACAAACATAAATTTAACGCGGACAAACACCCAGATGCGAAACAACTATCTGTGAGTAACACAAACAGTTGTCCCGTGTGGGGATCGAACCCACGACCCCCGACGCTGAAGCCAATATCTTGGCCACTGCGCCACGGAGTCATCGTGGCGCAGTTTCACGCAGACTCACAGTTTCATAGTGCGAAAAACTGTTCAGGAATCGATTTATTTTCGGAAGCGGCAATTATGCATGTATACATGCAATAGTTTTGCTCGGGAGCGTTGACACTATACCTTTAATGTATAATACAAGGACCAATTCTGTTTATAGGAACACCCATCTTAGTGAAATTTGCAAAGGATGTGCTACTGAGGCGCATTGCCACTCAATTTCGAAATAAAATTTCTCTACACTCTTCCTTTCGATGCTAACAAGCCCCGAGTGCTTTTGGTATTTTGTCTGGTGTATGGAATAACCGTTGGCCATCCTTTAAAAGATTGATATAGGAATTGCAAACACACGTTGTGAATATCCATGACGACCAGTCACCAACAAAATGATCACTCATTTCTTTTCGACATGTCAAAAACCTTGCGCAGAAAATTGCATTCGCTATTTAAAAAAACCTTCGAAAAAATGAAAAAAAGCTGTTATAAATGAAAATACTTTTACAGATTTATCAAGTTTATTTTTAATTTCAATTCCCGACGTTTCGAACCCTTTACAGCGTCACGGGACATATCAGTCTGTCATGTTAAATAAACGCGATAAAAATGGTTTCATTTGCAATGTGAGGTTACACATACAACAAAGGAGGTTATTCGGCTCACATTTTTTTCTTAAAAAAAAAACTTCATAAATTCTGTTCGATATTTAAAAAGCCGTTCCGTTGCGACTGTACCGCAACGCAGCAGCAGCTCCGCGTGTGCCACAGGCCTAAGGGCGATATCACACGCGGCCGATGGCATCGTGCGTTGCGAAACGGTATCGCACCCGCGCCGCAGCGCCGGCGCCGCCGTCCCGTTATTCGCCCACGGCGGCTTCGTTGCGCCACATCGACGATTTCCCGATTTTCAATAATAATAAAAAAAACGCGATGTTTGTTTACGTAATAGGTTTTATGTTAACTAGCGACAGACGCCGAGTTTTGGCGCCGAGCGGCCGCGCGGCGTGCTGTCGGTCAGACGCTCATTTGAATGTTGAGGCCCATTAGAATATCGAGGCGATAGTCTCGGGTATTCGATTTTAATTAGCATTGCGGTACGGGCATTGAACACGAATTAGTATAACTGACATTGAATTTTTTATTGATCCCTCAGTACGTTCCAAACGGTTTTCTTTTGACTTT